GTCATAATTTGTTGAATGGTATATCTTTCCCTAGTAATTTATAATATTCCAATGTCAATTTATTAAGTTTCTTTGTGTGAATTTGTTTTGAGTCACACTAGTCTGTCCCTTTGGTCTACTTGTCATCTCCTGTACCAATGTCAAATTGTCTTAATAACCACAGCTTTATGGTAACCCTGGCTATATTATAGGTAAAGTTCTGTTTTATTCTGCATTTCCAAGAAGCAGAGCCTGAGTTAGAAAGCTTATATACTACAACTTTATTGGAGAATTCATTCCTAGGGAGAAGTGAGGGACAAGTTAAGTGAGGCAGGGATAGGAGAGTGAACCCTTAAGGGTAACTGGCAGCCGGACTGTTTTCAAATAAGCAATATACATTGAGTCTCAGACAGTCCATGCAGGGGGGAAAACGAGACTTGATTTATTCATGAGGCATTTATTCTCATGCAGTTTTGTGTTGTCTGCTTGTTGAGGCTGAGCAGAGTCTGATGACTTGGCATAAACAGGGAAACCCTGAGGCAAGAGGCAAAAAGAATATAGCAAATGTGTGAGCTGAGGCATGATCAGGTTGAGGCATATATATGGTGAGATGCAGATGCCTCAGATTTGGATGAAACAAAAGCCCAGGAGGCAAAGGGAATCTAGAGTGATGCACAGGTGTGGCTGATACACATTCCATCTTATTTTTCTTCTGCAAAATGTTCCTGGCTATTTTTGATTCGTTATGTTCAATATGAATGTCAGAATAAGATTATCAAAGAGTACTGTTTTGATTTTGATTGGAATTATAATAAGTTGATAGATATCTCTGAGGAAAATTGTCACTTTATGGTGTATTGTCTTTTATATGGTACCTGTAAAAAATCTTTCCACATATTTTGGTTTTATTAATTGTATTTTTTTAATGTTTTATCACATTCATCTCTGAAGAACTGCAAACTTCTGTATATTATTCCCACAAATCTGTTAGGTTTTTTTTGCCACTTTATGTTTTATCCAGAATACATTTGCATATTAGAAATCTATAAGAAGAAAACAGTCTAAGAATATATGGTTAAGGTTCATATCAGAGGATAACTAATTGGTCAAGTGACATGGAAAGATGCTTATGCTTCCTAGACTAACTTACACTTAACAAGATAACATTTCACCCATATCATGCATACATTTAAAACCCAACAGTAATATGTTAGTTAAGAATGAAACCAAACACATGATAATTCCTTTGATGGAGCATACACTGATAAATACATTTAGACAAATTTGGCAAGTTCTAGTAAAGTTAAAGACATGAAAAAAATATACAGAGAAACATACATATGATTAAAAAACATAAAGAGGGTGAAGGAGGGTATAGCTTAGTGGTAGAGTGCATGCCTAGCATGTGCAAAGTCCTGGGTTCAATCCCCAGTACCTCCAATAAAATAAAAATAAGAGATTTCCTGTATGCACTCTGCCCCAACACATGCATAATCTCCTCCATTATCAATATCCCCCACTAAAGTGGTACGTACATAACAATTGATGAACCTACCTTGACACATCATAATCACCCCAAATCTGTAGTTTATATTATGGTTCACTGTCGGTGTTACACATTCTGTGGATTGGGCAAATGTATAATGACATGTATGTACCCATCATTATGGTATCATGCAGAGTATTCTCACTGCTCTGTAAATCCTCTGTGCTCTGCCTGTTCATCCCTCCCTGACCCAAACCCTGGAAATATTTTTTTCAAGGTATTTATTATCTTTGATAAGGGTTAGAGTTTTGGTAAAATTATATAACATCTGTCAAATCAAAGTGTTCTGTAAGTGCTTAAAATCAATCATCTAAATATATATATATATATATATGAAGAGATCATAAAATTACAGAAAAATTACTTGTTGTCTGTTAACATTCTAGCCAGCCTAACATTTTATGCTGACCAATAACATATGACTTAACTAACATATTCAGAATACACTTTATTCTTTATTACTAAAAATATCAATAATATTTCAGAATATTTTAGAATACCAAGTGTATTATGCATAAACATAGCATCAATTTTAGTTACATGGGAAGCAGTCTTTGAGTATAGAATTATAGAGCACTGGAGAAACACAAGTATTTGTTTTAGAATGACAGACTTCCAGGTCTTCAGTAAGCTTCAAACCTCCAGGGAGAGCAGATAAGTAAGTAAATCAAAGGGATGCCCAGCTTCTAAAATGCGGAATTGGAGCTGAATGTTTGAGAATATTTCTTGATGTAACAAAACAGGCGTCTGTCACATATGTGATCGTGACAGTCCTCCAGATAGTTTCTCTTGGATTGTGTCATCTTGGTGACCCTGTACCTCACTCTATTTCTCTTTTTACTGAATGCTTTAAAACCTGTTTCTTTCCCACAGTTGTTGCATAATTCCTTAAATAGCTTTAGAAACTTTCAAGAAGAAAGAAGCTAAATGAAGAGATTAATGAGGGGCTGTTTGTGAAATTCTTAGAGCTCCTTCAATGGCAGGTGTGATAAATTACACACATTATCACTCTGATGATCATGCAGCAAACCATTATTACAGCTTAATGTAGACTATCTCATTATGCAAGCACTGCTTGAATTTGAACGTACTTTAGCAGAAAATATAAGCTGTTCACATAATTCCAACCAAATAGGCATTTCTCTAGATAGAGGAAAGGCTTTCATTTAAAGGCATCTGCCGTGTTTACTATCAAGTGGCTCAGTTATATTTTACTCCTGCATGGAGAAACCCATAACCTAAGTCTCATGTACATAGGAAATAAATTAACTCCTAACCGCTTCTGTGTTTATAATGACCCAATTTTTGTGAAATTCATATATATGATGCATTCCTTAAATAAAGCCACTGCTAAAACAACACTGAAAGCCAAAAAGCTTAAAAGCAGGTATATGACATAAGACAGTGAGAAGATTTTATAAGGAATAAATCACATAAATGAGCAATTGTGTTTAGTCTGTGTTATATTGTCAATGTTCTTTTATGAGTAAGTGATTTTATTAATATCTAAGGGAAACTGTGGTACTCTACACTATTTGCATTGAATTCTAGTTTTTAAACTGAATTTTCAAACATCATTATTTAAAACATCGCAATATTTCTTGCTTCTTTAAAATAAAGGAAGTTCTGTGCAACATAGACCAATTGAATATGAATTAGAGACATAAACTCCATGCTAATTTCTTACCAGATATTCTTATTCTTCCACTGTTTATCCCAGATATGAACATTGAACATCATCTCCAGTGCTCCAAGGCTTCAGTCATTTCCTACCTAGACGATTATAAAATTCTTTTAACTAGTCTCCTTGCTTCTACTCCTGCCTTCTTACATTCATTATCCACAGAGTTATCAGAGCAAACTTTTAAAAACATAAATTGGACTGGCTACTCACTTGAATAAAACACTTCAGTGAATTTCCTCTGTAAATAAAAAAAAATGTTTCCTCCATAGCCTCCAAGGGGAGCACAATCTTACTCCTTTTGACCTTTCTGATGTTCCCTCTCACTGCCCCTTTCACCTCATTCACACTGGACTTTTTTCTATCCATTGAAAATTTCAGGCTTATTCTGTTTCCAGAATCATAGCCTCCCTCCTGGTTTTGGTAGGGCTGCCTCCTTCACTTATTTCTTAGTCCAATATATTGTCTTCTTAGCCAAATATTTCCTTGCTAAGATTCATTGTTGTGCTAGATTACAATTTATTTAGAGCTGCTACAGTTTTTGCAGACCCCAAATAAAAGATATTAGCACTTTTGACTATATTTGACTAATTTGACTATATTCTGAGATAATGAAATTTGTTCTTTCTACATAGATGTAAAATCCAAATCTTAATAATTACCCAAAATACTTACATATTTATTGAATCATATGAAATTAATGAATGCACTAATTACATTAACAAATAAAGAAATACTAGGAATCCAAATTCACGCCTAGATCTAACCAATAATGTACAGTTTAGTTGTAAAGACTTCTTAATCTAAATGATTACCTTTTTAGCCTGGAAAAAAAACAAAATAAAACTAAATAAACTAATAAAAAGTTTTTCTTGTCACCATGTTATTATTAGCTGGCCTTTTTATTTGTTGCAGTTTCTATTATACAAGAAAACAGATGTTTCTTAACAGGTGTAAGTAGGTGGATTTGGAAACCTGCAAACACTGAAAGCTTTTATGTCTCTCTTTTTAAGGAGGATAGTGGAGAGAAATTACAGTGCCCATTTTTTTAAAAAGTCTTTCTTGGCACCTGCTTTTACACTCTACTGCTATTTTCATTTTTCTTCCCATAAGCTAGTTGACCGAATAAATAAATAATAAAGAAATGCAATTTATTTTTATTTCCTTCTTCAAAATTGAACTCCCCCAGAGGGAAAATGCTCAGTTGTCCAGTGGTCTGTGTAGTAATCTCACTCTACCTATCCCATCTGTCCTTTCATTTCCAACCCCCTGTTCTAGTTCAAGCTCTCGTTATGTTTTTTCTTGTTTTGCAGAAGAGTCCTAATGAAGTACATACCTAGATATTTTTTATCACTATGGTCTCTCATAAATAACATCTCTAAAGTAATATGTTAAACCAAAGACTTAATCAGGGTAGGTGGAATGGAACAAACCCTGGACCCCAAATCAGGAGACCTGCTTTCATAGTACTCCTCGCACTTACAAGCTGCTTTACCCTTTCAGGTTATCTCTTTTCTGAAGATTTGTGTCCTCAGCTCTCCAATCTTTTTCTCAGACCCACTGACAGAATTAAATAAGATAATGTAAACCTAATTTCTAAGAATGATCCTGATACTAAATAAACACTACACAATTGCTGTTTAACATTTCTCCCCTAGGTAAAAGCATCAGTGGCTTCCCATTACTAAGAAAACAAAGTTCCAAACGTCTGTGAATGGCATTCAAATACTGCCAAAAGCTGGCGCCAACATATTGTTCAGTGCACTTGTCTCTGCATATTCAGTCCTTTCAGTACCTGTACGTGGTTTCTGCATGTGCCTTATGTTCCCATCCTTTATGTCATGTCTTGCATAGTTTCCTGTGTCTGGAATGTCTTTCTCCATCCTTCTCTACTGATTGAAATGTTGCTCATTTACCTCTTCCAGAACTTTGTGTGGAAAGCTTTCCAGATCGCCTTTCCAGATGGTAGAAGGCAGTATGTTGTTATCTATGTAATAGTCTATATTTCTATGTCATCAAATACCATAGATTGTCTGACCATACTGATTGACTACATACAGTAGATTGTATAGGCCATAGATAGAAATACCATACTGACTGATTAGACAATCAGGGATGCTCGAGCCTGCATCAGAGGAAGCTTTTTCCTCCTTCAGTATACCCAGGCGATGGGTCCCCTAAAGGCAAAGACCAGGTGTTGAGCCTATTTCCCTTCCAGAGCATACTGTACACCCCTTAACAGAACCTTGTGGAAATCTTGCTACTTAGTGTTCATTGAATTTGTTAAAGATAAAATTCTTGTATATGAGTGCTAGTATGCATGTGTATTAGTGTGGGTGCTGTGTGTGTGTATGCACTTGAATGCATAAGAGGATACAGAGGTAGTGTTAGAGTGCACTGTTACAAATAGTGATCTTTGTTAGTTCCTCCAAAAACTCATCTATCCATTAAATCAACATATAACTACTGAGTGCTTAATCTGTGCCAGGCACTGTTGTAAGCCACCAGGGATACAGTTATGAGTTAAGACAAAGCCTCTGACATCATGATGCTTACATTCTAGTAGTGGGGGAAGATAGAAAATAAACAGGTAGACAAATAAATGCAAATTATGGTGTTAGGATTAGATAAGCATTATAAAGAAAGTAAAATAAAATAAAGGGATAGAAAATGACAGGTTGTTATTTAAAAATGGGTGATCAGGGAAGGCCCACTTAGGAAGTGACATTTGTTGAGCAGGGACATGAGTGACATGAGGTGTTCAGCCAGGTAAGTTGAGCCATGCCTAGAATATTTCTAGGCAGAGGAAACAGCAACTGCAGGGGTTTCAGAAAAAAAAAAAAAAAGAATAACTCGGGCTAATCTTTCCTAGGAACTAGTTTAGCCTGTCCTTAGAAGTGAAATCATTGTTAGTGTTTCTTCAGCAAAGACAAAGTGTTTTAATTATTTCTGTAATACAATAATATTATTTCTCTCAAGATTCTTCATTCTTCAAGTGGGGTTCAACTAGGGGAACATTTAAGCTATTTCTGTGATTTAAATGCTGCTTTGTTCTCTTAGCTTCATTTTTTTTTCATCTGGATAATGGGTGTAATATTTTTATCTCATGAATTTTTTAAAATTTATATATATGTGGTTAGGACACTAGAAAGTGAAACTATTGTTATTATTGTTATTATTATTATTAGTAGTAGTATTTCTCTTGATTTCTTTCTTTCTTTTTTGAGTAAGGGTAGATTTATTCAGACAGACATCTACTCCATAGACAGAGTGCAGGCTGTTTCAGAAGGCAAGAGAAAGGCCACCATGTGTGAGGGTTGGATACTCAGTTTAAAGTCAAAGTAGACACACACTCCGTGGACAGAGTGTGGGCTGTCTCACTTAGAAGGGAGAGCGTCTTTTTCTTGATACCTGAAGCAGTGACTGCCTGGCCCTTCCTGCTTCAGTTGTAACTCTTAATTTTGAAGCAATACTTTAAAATTCTCAAATAACAGCAGTCATGAATATGTTGCAGAGTTAGATTCTTTCTTCTTTACTAACTCCAGCACATCAAGAAAAGAGGATCCTTTGGGGAACATTAAGAGGGGTTCATAAGGTGGACTCAGACTTTTGCTTGCTGTACAATCATAGTAAGGGATCCACAGGCAGACCATGTTACTGTGTTGGAGGGGCCCACCAAGAGGATGTGACTGCCCGTTGACCCAGGCGATTGGAGGCCCGTTACTCCCTCCTGTGTCCTTGGGATGTACATTCTGCCCACTGTTCGGCACTAGGAGCTACTTCACCTTGAGAGAGTAATGTGTTATTGAGACCACCTGGACTGTACACGGCCTCTATGTAAACTTTTAAGATTCTGGCAGATACGGAGATCTACTGGTCTTGTGGCCACTCAAGATGAGCCTCATATGTAAGTTCCCTTGCTTACAAACCTGCCACCTGCCAGTTTGGATTGGTCTGCCCCTTTCTTACATTTCTCCTTGCTGTCCTGGTACAAGGGGCAATTTCGAGTTTTACTGGGAAACTCCTGAGGTTGTGAACCAACGTAATAGCTATGGTTTAGGAGGCTTAGAGGAGAATAAAGCAGTTATTCAACCTAGAGCAATGCGCCACCTTCACTTAAGCGTTTGGCTGGAAGACTGGCTTGGGAAGACAGTGGCCCAGCTGGGATGTTGCACATGGCTGGTCTCCAAACCAGATTCTCAGCAGGAATTTCACACACACAAGCACAAAGGAGCACTCTTGAAAATTCCTGTGAAAGAGCTGCTAATATTGTCTTACTGGCTTTCACTTGGTAGCCTGTCTTCTGGATAAATGTCAAATTAATGGGATAATTACTTGAGAATGAACCCAGTGCCCAGTGTTAGCTTTTGGGAAGGCAGGTTTATTTTTTTAATCTGTGCTGGCTTCATAATCTTATAGAAGTGATGTCAATCTCAGATTCTGAAAAATATTCAAATATATGAAGTAAGATACTAAACTAAATGGGCTGTTTCTCCTGTCCTTGAACTCAGGTTCAGCTCCTCTCCTACAGCACGTATAAGTCGAGTGACAAGGTTTGAGGCAAGGAAGGAGACTTTATTTGAGAAAGCTGTTTAACCCAGAAAATGTGGGCTAGTATCTTAAAAAATAAACATAAAAGCAGGCAAAGAGCTTTTAAAGAGAAAGGCACAACAAAGGAGCAAAAGAGGGAAGGGATGTCTGTGGTTGATCTTCAGCTCTGTTGTCTTGTGAAAGTCCCGTTGCTGCCTACGTGATGCAGGAGTTGTTAGCAGCCTTGAGTTCTCACATGCATCAGCCTCTGTGGAATGTTTCTTAAAAATGTCTAAGATTAGGTTAGTTAATTTCAAAGACAGCCACTGTGGTCCAAGGTGAATGAGGGGTGTTTTCCAGAATTTGGACAAAGAGCTGCCCCTCCTGCCCATAGATGAAAACCTTTAGTTGC